AAAATGCACTGTTGTGGAACAGCACTTACCAGCGAAGGCTTTGGAGATGTTCTCCTTCTTCCACTCCCAGGGCTGGTCGTACTCATCGGCGGGCCTCTCGTCGTCCTGGGGCAGATGGCTCTCTCTCTCGTCCTCTGCGGTGGCCTCCTCCCGGGGCCGAAACCTGTCCTCATACGGACTGTCGTAGAGCTGCGGGCTGCTCCTGCCCCCATCTGAGCTGTGCTGGAGCTCTGAACAACATCAAACACAGTCATTAGCACCAGATGACACGCCGATATGGCGTTGTGTATTATGAGAGTGAGTGAGGACTGGAATTGGAACTGGAAAGCTTTGAAGAACATGCAAAATGGGGTGTGCATTTTTTCACAAGTTCACTTTAAAAAAGCTTTTGCTGATAATTTACTCACCCAAATGGCATCCAAGATGTCCATGTCTTTCTTTCTTCCGTCGAAAAGAAATTAAGGTTTTTGATGAAAACATTCCAGGATTTTTCTCCATATAATGGACTTCAATGGGAACCAAAGGGTTCAAGGTCCAAATGAGAGTTTCAGTGCAGCTTCAAAGGGCTTTAAACGACACCAGACGATGAATAAGGGTCTTATCTAGCGAAACGATTGCTCATTTCAAAAATAAATAAAAAAAGTTTACGTTTTATGAGCACAAATGGTCGCCTTGCTCTGTTATGCGTTGAGCGTTCGTGACTCTCCTGTTCGAACTCGTTCATCAAAATAAACAAATATTTTTTCAAGTCATTTGGTTCATTCAACAAACGATATTAACAAAGGTACTTGAAAAAAGATTCGTTCATCAAAATTAACGAGTTCGAACATGAGTCACAGAACAGAGCAAGACGACCATTTGTGCTTATAAAACGTAAACTTTTTATTTATCTTTGAAATGACCGATCGTTTCGCATGATAAGACCCTTATTCATCGTCTGGTGTCGTTTAAAGCCCTTTGAAGCTGCACTGAAACTCTCATTTGGACCTTGAACCGTTTGGTCCCCATTGAAGTCCATTATATGGAGAAAATCCTGGAACGTTTTCATCAAAAACCTTAATTTCTTTTCGACTGAAGAAAGAAAGACATGGACATTCTGGATGACATGGGGGTGAGTAAATTATCAGCAAAAGCTTTTTTAAAGTGAACTACTCCTTTAAGGCCCGGTTTCACAGACAAGGCTTAGATTAAGCCAGGATTAAGCCTTAGTTAAGTTAGGATATACTCCTTTAAATGCTGAGAGATCCAGCAAAGAACTACTGTACCGCTTATGAACCGCTGGGCCTCAAACGGCTCCATGTAACTGCTGGAGGCCTCGACAGCGTTCTGCTCCCAGCCGGGTCTGGGCCGCGGGTCCGGCCTGGCGTCAAACGGGTCCGAGTAATCCGTCTCCCCGACCACAGGAGCAGAGGGAACCACCTGGGGAAAAGAACAAGGAACGAGGGTTGAGTGATGTCCGAGTGATTGAGATTTAGAAACGAGGACAATTGCAGTGCTTTACGCAGATTTCTCAATCAAACATTTTCATCCACCAGGGTTATTAGTTAACTAAACCTAACACCATTTTTGTTACTTAAGTGCAATAAATTAAAGAAAACTTTAGTTGCCGAAAGCAAGATTTCTCATTTTCATTTACTTTTACTTGATGTGCTAAAATAATTTATTTAAATAAAAATAATAAATAACTAAAAAAAACAATATCTCCCCAAAATCAATTCAAAATCTTTAAAAAAAACTGTAATAACTATCCTAAAATAACACTGTATTTTTATACCTTTCAAGGTATTTTAGAGCAAAAATATACATCAAATATCAAACAGGAGAGTCACAAACACTCATCACAGAACAGAGCAAATCAAGCATTTGTGCTTATAAAACTTAAACTTTTTTATTTATTTATTAAATTTCGCTAGATAAGACAGTTATTCGTCGTCTGATGTCGTTTAAAGCCCTTTAAAGCAGCACTGAAACTCTCATTCGGACCTGATGTTCATTATATGGAGAAAATCCTGGAATGTTTTCATCAAAAACCTTAATTTCTTTACGACTGAAGAAAGAAAGACATGGACATCTTGGATGACATGGGGGTGAGTAAATTAAACTAATCCATTAATTAATAATTTTATTTTTTGGTCCAGACTAAATAGACCAAGAAAACAGAACTACAAGTGTAGTTAAACACCCTTAAAAATGATTTGAAGTTAAAAGAAAATTTAAATACTAAATGAAAAATTTAAAGAAAACAATTAAAAAGTTAACGGAAATATTTTTTTACGTTTATAAAAATGGCAAAAAGCAAATAAAAATTAAACAAATTAAAACAAAACCTGAAGAAATAGACCAATAAAAGCCATTTAAAATGAATTAATTCTAATAAGCAATGCTATAATATATAAATAATGGTTAAATTGACCTGAAATACAGCGCACGAGACAAAGTGACTTCTTTTAAAGTGCTTTTGTCCTTTCTAATGATTGACAGTAACCGATCACATTATCATGCTTACATTGTAGAGAAAAGAGCATTTTGCTCTTTTGTTTCCCTAAAGAAAAACAAGACGTGTGGTGTGAAACAAAAATCCAAAAGATTTAAAGTGATCTTTAAAAGGGAGAAAGAATGGTGGTGTGTGATAGCCTATAACCCGCAAGCATTGGGATTAAATGTATTTGGGTTAATGAAATGGATTCCCTATTCCCCACCCTTCATCCCCGACAAGACAATCGTCACCCGGACAAGCTCTGGAAACACAACAGAATCGCGCGTCTGGGTTTGGTTTGTTAGTTATGACATCCGCAAAACTCGTTCACACACGTGCATCTATTTTAAAAGAATCACAAATCAACGTAAACAATCTCTGCCACTCTCATAATAATAAACCATCTATTCACAAGAGAGAAGTTGACTGGAAGGTCTTTATGCCAAGAGAACAGACCATATAAAACACTTTCACATAAACAAACTAAAGTTTACTGGATATTATAATTATATTCAAGTACGCATTAGAAGGATGAAGTGCTTAAAAAACACAATTATCCATTAAAACCATGGCATAGGCCTACTACTAAACAACATTTTTATACTTTCTGAAGAGGTGTTTGTCTAATCCCAAACATTTTCCCAAATATCAACCCAGAATATCTTTCAAAACACTCCATTCTTTCTTATAACAGACCAAGCTCTCTGTATGTTAAGAAAACAAGAACTTACAGGGGCCTGCGGTTCCTCAAAGGTCACGATGTTCAGCGGTACTTTGCTACGCCCGAATTCCTGAGATTCCACTTTTATCAGTCTGTGTTTGGGAGACACAATCTTCACCTCCAAGCCATTGGACAGCACTGTGCCAAAAGCGGGAAACACTTCCAAAGACCCCGAGCCGTTCACCACGCGGTTCTCGGGGGGTTCGTAGGGGTCCTCAAAGTCCAGCTCTTTCTGAGCCCTGTAGGCCCGTAGGATCTCGCTTTCGGTGTAGTCTGGTTTCGGGGGCTGTGGCGGTCCTTTCCTGCTGCCAAAACTCAGGTGATCTCTAAACCACTTTGCCATGGGTCTACGACCAACGCGAGAAGGAAACAGATCCAAATATATATATATAAATGAGCTGTTATGCCTCTAAAATTCCCTTTATCCTAGTTCTTCCATGGGACACCATCCATAAATCTTGAAACACCAACCAATAAGTTACTTATTACTCACAGTGTGTCAATAAACGGCACATAGGATTTGATATTGTGCAATAGCTCACCTCAGTTTCCCCAATGCATCGACCCTTTAGAACATCCAACTTGGTAGCATTAAATTGATCTGGAAAGCAGACGCACAGTCATGCCATTAATAAAGAGGGAAACGAAGAAAGCTGTGACGTAAAAAGATGAATTATTCTCCTCCACCACTAGACCAGCCCCAGTTGAAGACATATTAAAGGGATAGTTCAGGCAAAAATGTTCATTATGTCATCATTTACACACCCTCAAGTTGTTCTTTCAAAAATACAAGCTAAGAAATAATGTCTGTAGGAGTTGACAAATTGGCCGCTAAGCACTAACTAAAGCTTGCTAATAAGGACTTTGGACAAACTAATTAAATTATTAATGAGTAAATTACGGGATTATTTTAATTTTGGGGGGAACTAACCCTTTTCCATCGAAGGAAGAAAAAAAAAACAATACGGTTTTGTTACACATTAGCGTAAATAAAAGGTTTGGGTGAGCGGTTCCTTTAAAAATACACATCATATCATACAGGCGAAGCCTGTATAACCTGATTTACCGTAGATCAGGTTATAAGCTTACTTGTACTTAACGTTAGGTCATAGATTAAACATAACGGCGATGATTTCTTATAAATTAAGACATAATTCAGTACTCAAAGAGAAAGTTTCATTCTCCCACAACTCAAAGATTCCCGTCAAAACAAAAACATGCACCAACACACCCACTTTAATATCGTTCCCAGATAACTTAACACATAACAGGGAGATATTTACGTATTTTAGACTGAAATTATGCAAAAACTGTCAATATAGATTACAACTAATGTTAGCATGCTGGCTAACATCTCTAAACTTCGCCAGACGACATTATTTTCACTTTTTTGTCGACAAGTGTGATTATATTCACGAATACTAGAGTATATTGAATACAGAGGTGGAAATCTGCATTCATTTGGAACTCAAAAGTAAAAACCAACAAATTTAAGCTACATTTTGTTAGCCGGCTTGCTTGCTTGCTGGCTAACTATGCAGCGCGCGAGCCCGATGGATAGTCACCGAGGAGCGTGTGCAAATTGTTCATCTAAAAACGGCAGTTTTAATAAAAACAGTTCCGAAACTAACAAACCCCAAAAGCATTTGCAAAACACTCACCTCTCAATGACGGATGGAAGCGAGTATATAAAGAAGCTGTGAGGAAAATCTCAAAAAGTGGCGAGCGTGCACGTGCAGATGGATGGATGAGTTGCATCGGATTGCATTGGTTGTTGCAGCTCAGCTGGTGAACAACACATAAGCTCGTCTGACTTTTGTTGTTGAAGCCCACTGGAGAGTTGCATTGTCTTTGTTCTTGCTGAAGCATTTCATATGGTGCCCCGTGCTGTTTTACATGCATTCTGCAAAATGCTGCATGTCTGCAAATCAATTATTAAAGCATGTTTTAGGTGAAATATAGAGGTTGAGTGCAATTACATGCATAACTGGGGCTTCTTCTAGTCAACCACCCACAAAAAGAAACGATCCGATTCAATACACGTCGCCAAACCTCATTAACACCTTCTTCGTCAGCAAACAGAGGTCAGATTGTAAGGTTAGAAGGTCACCAGCACTTTGGTGGATCAATGTGACAGATGGTAAACAATGGTTTATTGACACACTGACTTCATTAACATTAGCAAGTGGTAACACTTGCTAATGCACCATTAGTGATTTAAATTTAAATATTTGATACACAATAAGGTAACACGCGTTACATGTATTGTAGTAATAACTAAATGTAGCATAATTACATGTAAACCCTAAACCAACCATAACCCCAGAGAAAGCACATATAGTTCATCAATATCAAGTCCAATTTAACCAACAATGAATAATACATTTGTTACAAAGCTATTCTTTGTGAACATAAGATAATAAAGATATAAGTATTAACAGATACAACTTTGATTTTCATAATGCATTCATAAATCAAATGTATAATAATATATAATAAATTCATTTTTTGAAAAATGTGAAAAAACAACAAATAAGCGTGGAAACGAAACACAGGAACATTTTATTAGTTTGATATTTGGGAAGAAGGAAGTCTATTGGAGATGATCAGTCTAAATTAGATTTATTTTCACTTATCTCCACTTTAACCCTCAAATGCATTTCCTCGTATTGACTGAACTAACATGGAGAAATGAATACTACATTACAGTTCATAATAGATTAGAAACCCATTATAGAGTACAGAGTACATTACAGACCCTGGGATGTCGCATATCTAATAGCAAATAAATTCCAGGCAATGGAAATAGCTTCTTATAGACAGACAGTGCTCCGCTAGCTAAAAAGATCACTGAAAAATAATAAAATCTCTCAATTATACATTTAAAGAGCCCACGTAATGGACAATTATAATGGTCTGTGAAAATTGAGGTGGTCATTCGTTTTTGCTGGTCTGAAAATAAACATTTAAAAACAGCACACAGTGTTAGTCAGAGTTTGAGTCATCGCTGTCTGTGTACGCCCCCAAGAGGCTGAGAGATGAACCGCTCTGAGACGACACCGGCTGGCCGTTGGAAGCGCTCGCTGAGGCTGTGGAGGACGCGGGTTTGGCTCCGGCCCCTGCATGATCCGGAAACACAGAGAAGACCCAGGTTAACAGATGTGAAGCAATGAGAGAGTGTGATACGTAAATACAACATCAGGCTTTCACTCAAAGGCAAGGAAAGTTTATTTATATAGCATATTTCATAAACTAAGCTAAACTAAGGCTAAAAAAAAAAAAAAAAAAAAAAAAACACAAAATAAAAGGAAAGAAAAAAATATATTTTTTAGTGCTGTCAAACGATTAATCGCATCTAAAATAAAAATTTGTGTTTACATAATATATGTGGGTGCACTGTGTATAATTATTTTGTAAATGTGTATATATATATATATATATATATATAAAAATGCTGTTCTTTTGAACTTTCTATTTATCAATGAATCAACAACAACATAATGATGATTAATGTTTCTTAAATAAGTAAAGCAAATCATCATATTAGAATGATTTCTGAAGGATCATGTGACACTGAAGACTGGAGTAATGATGCTGAAAATTCAGCTTTGATCACAGGAATAAATTAAATTTTACAATATATTCAATTATCAATTATTTTAAATTTATTTTAAAGTGACCTCAAAATGTGCTATTGTGATAGTTTAAATAACTGAATAAATGCATTATATCTGTCATAATTGCTGCTTACACACACACACACACACTTATGACCAGACTGTCCCTCACACTTAAAAAAAATCACAAATTGACTTTTTTTAATAGATCACAAACCTTTTTGTGTGTCAGCAGCCTGTGGTTTCTTCCTCACCACCAGAGACCCCAGCGCTCCCTTCCCGCCCAGACCCCCGACACTCCTCTCCCAGCTCTCCAGCTTCTGCTTCTTCACAACCGCAGACGACGAGCTCTGTGGAGTTCAGGAGGAAGAACAGCGCACACATTAATGAGAAGCATATGAGGCGTTAAAATACAAAGACAATAAAAAAAGAACAACAAACAAAAAAACGGCAAGACAAATGAAGTGGGAAATGTAGTTTAGGACCACAGATCACCCTATATGAACATAGTAGCCCTCAAACCGTATTCACTTTATAGCCCTTAATCCTGTAATTGTGGACAAATGTGGGCACAGAGGACTCAGGCGTGATCCTAATTTTTATATATTATAAATGTTACATCATGGTCTTCGATAAAGTTTTGTCTATCCATTTATGGTGTTTTTTTTATTTTGGGGGTATTTTTTAATTTATTTAATTCAAAAAGTACCATATTTTCTATGTAAATTATGCTTATTTATGTTTTATTTATTTATTTATTTTTTTAACTACATTAAAATATCATTCCCATAAGTTCTTAGAGCTAAAACCTAAAGATGAAGTGACTTTGCCGTCACCTGGTGTCTTATTGAGTGCTCTAAATTACAGTTTTTCCCATTCATTTCTATGGGTGCCCATTTTTGACCCAAATACAAGATTAAGGAGGTTTTTTTTCACCCACTTAACATTGTAGAAGTGAGTCAAAAAAAAAAAAATTTGTGTGTGTTCAGGAGGCAAACTTAGGAAAAGTAGCCAAGTCTTGTACCGCTCAGATCAAGGGAAGTATTTTTTAAAAAATAATTAAAAACTATTTTGCCCACATTTGTCCAGAAAACGGTTTTAAATATTGAGCAGAAAGTATTATGTGAAAAGAGTGTGAAGTGATTAAGAAGTCTCACCAAAGCTGCACTTATCTGATCAACAATGCAGTAGAAACAGCAATATTGTGACATATTAGAAAAGACAAGAAAAAAAGGACAAATTTACTGGTTGCAAATGAGCGACTGGATGTAAAATTCAGTCTCACACTCTCAAATTCTGGTGGCAATCTGGAGCCCTAACTCTACCTGTGATCCTGCGTTCCCGTCTGTAGTGAGGATGTCTGTGGGTTTATCAGCCGTGTGTTTCCTGCCTTCGTTTGCATTTTCCGTCTCTTCCTCAGAGTCCGAGTCCCTCAGTCGTTTAATCAGAGCTCTGTCTAACATCTCTCTATGAGGAGCAAGAGAAGAGAGAAGTCTAAATTACAGAATATATATATACTATATAATTCATGTTTCTTAATCTTGACATTTAGGCCTGGTTTCACAGACAGGGTTTAGATTAAGCCAGGATTAGGTAGGTCTTAAATCAAATAGGTCATAAGTAGCTTTTATAAACATACTTTAAGAAAAAAAAACATTACTTGTGTGCATCTTGAGACAAAACAATGACATACTTTAAGACATACTTTCAGTTAAAACAGCTCAAACATGCATTTTAGTCTGACCAGCTTAAGCCTGGTCTGTGAAACCAGGGGTACGTGCTTTGGAAAACATATTAACGCAGTGAATGTACATAACCTCAAAGAGGTGCTATTATTGTCACATGTAAATGTAGACGATATACACACAACTATGACTATCAAACATTCATATTTTAGGTTAAACTGCACAGGAATATCTCCATATTGTACATTAAAGGGCATATTGCAGGTTAGAGGACCCAACGAGTCAATGCATATAAAAACAATGTAGGAACTAGATTTTCTTTAAAATATACGCATAAACACGCTACAGAAGCTTCTGCAGTCGTTTTTGTGAGAAAATTTTACTTCCGCGTCTGAAAATGGGCGTGGCGGGCGTGACGCAATGAGCGGGAGAGCCGTCGATTCACACAACAGGAAAACAATGAATCGCAATGACATTTCGGACGCTGAGGAAATACTCGTATGACGGATCAAGCCATAAAGTTATGAGCCTGCTATGCTAAAGAGATCAGGGACAGGCCAGGATAATGTCAGACAGAATGGTCAGAGAAAAATTGAGCTGTGATGTGAGGAGAACCAGTGGAGAACAGGACAGGTGCCTTTTAGGTGAGAGACGTGCTTATAGTATACACGTTCGCTAACGATATACACTGTGCTCACAATATTGTACAGATTATTATGATCCTATAACAGGCCAGCAGACATTAGTATGTTTAGGGTAGATTTATATACTATTAAATGTATAAAAACTTTACTTGAGTATATTTCTATACTAAAAGCATAGGCTATACTCAGGTAAATTTTTAATACATATTTTTCACCTTGGTTATAACATAAACAGAACATTAAAGATTTGAGTATTTAAACAACCAGTTTTGTTTTTCAATTACAAGTTCTATTTAGGGCATGACATGACTAAGTTACCTATATAACAGTATTTGATGCCATATTGGTAGTATACGACGATCACTATTCTTGCTTCGGCATACCATGTTGAACTCCATCATATTGCCGGGATGCTAATCATTTGATCTGAAGTGAACGCAACACACGACCGCGTTTTCCGAGCCGATGCAGATGAGAAATCCCGTCTCTTCACCTGCTCAAACAGCACCAGGAACGAAAGATAGGCTATATAGCACCGTCACTTTTATTGTAATGGAAACTTGTGGACTCGATCTTGAAGTCCTGACAGGCTGGAGTTTTTGCAATCTCCACAAACACAATAATTTACCATGACGATGATAAATTAAAATCCAAAAACTAACGAAAGCACACCGACTGACGAGCGCTCTCACTGAACACCAGCCTGCTCTGCACTGAGCCGAGGCTGCGGCTCCCTGATATGACGTCAAATGACGCGATGTTGAAAAAAAAGCCGTTTTTACTAGCAGTCCAAGAAACGCTCACTTTATCTTCTAAATTAGTGTCCTTATGTTGTTTTAAAACATTTTAAATCCTGCATTAACTTTTCATATGGTATTTTCATACAAGGTTATCTATAAATTTCGATTTTTTTTTTACCTGCAATATGCTCTTTAACTATATTTTAGATGCTGTAATCTAGGGCTGTCTGATATGGGGGGAAAAAATAATAATTTCAGATTTTCTGATACAATTTGCAATTTAAATCTTTGTGCACTTAATTGGACCTGAAGTGTGACATTCATTTTTAAAAGTTTAAATATTCCATCATAAAAGGATAATGAAACTGTTCAAAACCTTTGCTCAACACAAAAGAAGATATTTTTTATAGAATATGAGCATCCAAACAGTTGATGGACAAGAAAATACTATTGAAGTCAAAGGGTCCCATCAAGTAGTGACTGACACTCTTCAAAATATCTTCGTTTGTGTTCAGCAGAGGAACGAGATTCACACTGGTTAAGCATAAATGACATCATTTTCATTTTTGGGTGAACTATCCCTTTAAATCTAAGATGCAAAACGTCCAAGACTTGCTCTTTTCATACTTGGTCTCTCGTTCGTCTTCTTCCAGCTCTCTTTCTCTCTGTCTCTGCTCCATTTCTTTATACTTATCCAGCATGCCCTCGAAGTCCACCCGTGCCTGCCTCTGGTTCAGGTCCTTCAGCTCCTGCAGGTTCTCCAGCACCTCCATCTCCATCTTTGAGTCCCGTGTGCGGTTCTCCAGGACCTGTGGCGGCATTCAGGGAGATTAGCTTTCAAGCTTTTATGGGTTTTTGATAGAGATGCACAGATTGACCGTGCATTCACACCGGGAGCAGGAGCAGCGGTTTCTGCGCCGTGTCTATTTTTGCTGCGTTGCTCACGCTTAATTAAAGTGAAAGCACACTTTTGATGAAAAAAAGGATTTAAAAGTGCCCAAAATACACAGACTTTGCATGTCGTGTGTTTTAATAAGAACTGGAGTAGGAGTGTCAGAAAAGAAAATGTATCCTTTTAAACTTGTTTTTATTATTGACTGTGAGTAAAAGTATATGGTGTTTTAAAAAATATATTTGTGTTATTGAAAATAAAAGTGGTTAGAAAAATAAAATCGGAATCGGCAGGTCAAACTCAATGAAAATCGGAAATCGGCCTAGAAAACTGCAATCGGTGCATCTCTAGTTTTTGATGGCTTGCTTACAAAGACACTGTAAAGGCTTTTATGTACACCATATGTGGAAAACTAAATGCTTTTTTCAAAAAAATAAATAAAAATACACTGATGGAAAGTGGAAGTAAAAGTAAAAATGAAACACGAATAGCACAGAATAAAACAAACAAACACCCCCTGAAAAAACCTCTAAAAGACTACATGTGTGTTTTATGATTCAAGTTTCTAACAGACCTTCATGGGGTTATTGAGTTCCTCTTCCTCTCGCTCCTGCTGGATCTTTTTCTCCTCCTCTTCTAGCAGTTTCTCAGCCTGAAAATTACGTGTTGCACCATGTTCCATGGCATAGTCTGTGTTCTCTGGATCTGTCTGCGAAACACACCAATCAGATGAAGTGCAACTGAACAAACACACAAGAACATCTCCTGAAGTGTTGCAGTATGATGTGTGTGTTCATTCGAGTACCTTGAAGGTGATCTCAGCCAAACATCTGGTGCATTTAATGTAGAATCTAAAAATGGGAAGCCCCATGTACAGTTCGTTCTGAACGGTCTCCTTACGAGCGTTGAACTTCTTCCCTTTGTAAATGTATTCTCCACATGTTTTACACCTGCAAAACAGCAAGAATTAATATCTGAAAGATTATATATATATAATCTCTAATAAATCAAACTACAGATGTTGTACTAACAAATTAGAGAAATCAAGAGATTCTTTGCCATTAAAATAGTATTATGTTCAGTATACCATTACTTAGCTTGTTGCATTTAATTTATATTTTTACTGTGATATTCAGTACCAGTCAAAAGTATGGAAAAATTACTATTTTTAATGTTTTTGAAAGAAGTTCTCAAGCCTGCATTTATTTGATTAAAAAACAGAAAAAAAATGTAATTTTGTGTAATATTATTACAATTTAAAATAATGGTTTTCTATTGTAATATACTTTAAAATATAATATAATTCTGTGCTGCAAAATTCATTTTCATCAGCCATAACTATAGTCTTCAGTGTCACATGATCATCCAGAAACCATTCTAATATGCTGATTTATTATCAATTTTGGAAACAGTTGTGCTGCTTAATATTAATCATTTCTTTGAAAAGAAAGAAAGAAAATTACTGACCCCAAACTTTTGAATGGTAATGTATATTTTTAGAAAATATTTATATTTTAAATTAATGATAAAAAAATAAATAAAAAATATATTTAAAAATAAATTTTATTCAAAGAATCCTGAAAAAAAGCATAACACGTTATTAAAAATATATTAAGCAGCACAACATTTTTCCAATCATGTGACACTGAAGACTGGAGTAATGATGATGAAAATTAGGCTTTCATAACAGAAATAAATTATATCTTAAAATATATTCACATAGAAAACCATTATTTTAAATTGTAATAATATTTCACAATATTAGTTTTTTCCCCCTATATTTTTGATCAAATAAATCCAGCCTTGGTGAGCAGAAGAGACTTAATTCAAAACCATTAAAAATAGTAATGTTTCTAAACTTTTGACCGGTAGAGTTTATTGTTGTCCATCTATGTAATTGTATTCTTAGTTGAGAAGCTGCATAAAGTGTTGTATGAAATATTTGAACATTATTTACATCTAAAAACATGTCCTTATATGAACCCTGCAATAGTTCTAGACATTACAACTAACGTTACCTCATGTCATTATATGACAGACCTGGGTTTCTATTTCTATCTCAAACCATGCAAGTCATAATATTGGCAATAGTTATATCAACTAAAAAAAACTAGTCTCACCTCATATTGAATGGTGCCATCAATCTGACCACATACTGACGGTCTTTGGGCAGTTTGAGTTTCGGGATTTTAGACGGATCAAAATCCGGAGGATAGTATTTCTGAGGAAAAATAAGAAGAAATGCTGTAAAAGTGACACTTTACCACAGAAGCGTAACTTTGCAAACAGAAACTTATTTCGAGGTTCATCTTAATAACTATTAAATGTGTTCAAGATTATGTACTTGAAGTGCATAGAAAACATTAACGTTACTTAAAAACATGTAGCTAACGTTATACACTGCGTTGCTAACAGTTACTTCATTAGCAGCATTCTGTTAATGGTTATCTTAGCTAGCTATGACACCTCTAATCCACCTTAAGCCGCAGCACAATAATAATATAGAAGTAAACAAAGAGGTACTTACATTCAAAACTTTTCTTTCCGACATGGTTCTCTTTAATTCCCTAAAATGTGAACTAAAACAGACAACCGAATGCTAAAATGTTTGTTACTGCGAGCTGGACGCTTCTTCCTCGCGGTGTGTTTGTGTGTGTGTGTGTGTATCCGTCACTCACGCGCTGCAGTGCTGCCACCACCGGCAGAACCTCAGTATTACAGGACACAAGGCAATAATTAGCATACAGATAAATCATTTACAGACACACATAATACAGACACAGTAATATAATATCATATGAACATGATAAATATGCCAAAAATTGTTATAAACAGGAAGGTGCTAGGGTGAGTAAGGTGGGTTAGCTATATATTAAAAACAGAAGCAGAAATCTTCTAAAGACAATAAAGACGTAAAGACTTTACTGAGGCCGCTAGAGGGAGATGCTGAATAATAAATCAAATATTAAACTCTAAATAGTTTTTCGTGTTGCTTCGATGAATTTTAGCGCTTGCATTTTTTTAAAGTACAAGCTGTGATATTCACAATCTCGCCATAGAAGAAAGCAAACCAAAAGTATTTGGGAGAGATCATTTGTACTACTAAATAGTGCAAGTTGAGTGCAACCTTAAGATAAAAGTACTTTTTATAGATTTGACAGTGGAAACACAAATCCTGACGTTAAAATCACTCTGTAAGAACAAACCAGACGTGCCCAAAGTGAACTCTGCATTGGACACCAGTCAAAACAATCAGTACTTGCAATAAAAAGAGTCTTACAGTCATTTTTTTCTTGCTTATTATCTAATTTGGCGCGCGCAAATGTTTGGTTATGATGCGCGTAATCCTGCAGCAGCTCTAGGGCGCGCGCAGAGACGCGCAATCTCATGCTGTGCGCCAAACAAGCTGGACACATCCGTAAATGGCTTAAAAATCCAGCCATATCTTCAATGGGGAGCACGGACAACGTTTGGATACAGAGTTCTTTCTTAAATGAATGCTGGGATTTAGATAAACTTTCGATCTGGATCGCGAAAAAAACGCGTCAAACACGGATTTAAGAGTAACCTACTAATGCATTTGTGGGGAATCCAGATTTCAACGAACTACAATTTATTTACCTACAGCAACAGAGACAGTCTGAAACATCTTCCAGAGTCCTTGACGGAATACTTTATCTGGGATTGGGGTTATTCCCATCATGGATCAGTTTGGGATTTTGGATTTACATCAGCGCAATAAATGGAAATGCGTGGGCGCAGTGCTGCAATTAACGGAGTTTACATGTAAGATCAGTTTTTATTTACATTTAAAACGATAAAAGTTGATTCATTTTTTTTTAATCATTGTAGAGTTTCCGAACCCAATTCATTGCAGGTGCAATTACCCATATGCAATATTAAAAAACTAAAAGTTTAGAGTATAAAACTAAAGTAAAAATTCTTCAAGGTCCACTAAAAAAAAGGATTTCTTTTTTTAATTTCAACTGAGATATAAGTTGAATCATTTGAGGATTTAGAAGAAAAAAAAACGAAAGAAATACAAGTTTAAAGAAAAATAATTTCGGCTATATTAAATGATGTCAGTGATCACGTGACCCTTTGTACAGAATTGCAGTGCTGAGAGTGAGTGCAAAACTGAAGCATTTTCACTTGTGGACTAAAGACAGTGTAAACATTTTAAGAGTGAACTCTTTCACTCATCCTCGTGTTAATGGTTGATGCAAATTATGTGTTTCATGCACTAACGAAAAAGTCCAGGAGGATGTGTTTCTCTTGCTGAATGAACTCTGTCCGCACATCTCTCTCATCAGCTGGAGTTCAGTTGGCCTGCAGGGTGGACATGGATATAATGCATTATGGGTGACCATAATATACATGACGCCTCCCATTTAATGATCCTTAATGGATCTGTTGGTTTTATCAGGTCAGAGTAGTGAGAATTCAGTGAATGACTTGTGTGTTGTTGTAATTAGGCTATACAGGATTTTTAGTTGTGACTTCTTTCTAAAATCCCAGTAAAATTGTTGGAACTTTATTTTACCGTGTCCTTGTGACACTTTACATAGTTACTGTAGTATAATAACTGTAAACTCTAAACCAAAACCCTCTTCCTAACCCTTAGGCATATATTTACTCAGTACTTAATTACACTGTAAAACACTGTGTCCAATGTGATCGTTATGACACTGTTACTAACACTTTCAAATAATAAAATTAAATGTAAAATATAAAATATTAATAAAAACTATAATAGCATCTCAATTCGTTTTCCTAATGCATTCATAATGCCTTATAATTCATCATATGTTCTTGCTATGCATTAAAATTAGGGCTGTCAAACGATTAATCGCAATTAATCGCATCCAAAATAAAAGTTTGTGTTCACGTAATATATGTGGGTGCACTGTGTGTAATTATTTTGTATATATATAAATACACACACATGCATTTATATTTAAGAAAAAAAATATTATTTTTATTTAAAATATTTATATTTATATATAATATAAATTATATATAAATCTATATACAGTATATACATGACAACATTTCTTAAATATATACAAGCGTGTATTTGTATACGTATATAAAATAATTATACACAGTGCACCCACATATATTATGTAAACACAAACTTTTATTTTGGATGCGATTAATCGCGATTAATCGTTTGACAGGCCTAATTATAATATTTAAACAGTATACTGTAATAGTTTAAATCACATGTCCAATAACTTGTTTCATAAGTTTATGCTCTTTATGAGTTTAAGAGTTTCAAGTAATTTTAAGGTTTTCAAGTTCAATCTTGCCCCCAAAACTGCAAATTAAAGTACATAAAATTGCTTAGACAATGATGTAACAAAAAATGCTACAATATTTACTCACTTCACACACACACACACAAAATATCATACAAAAATTCTGAAAGTGGCCAAATATTGATTTATCAGCATGACTAGTTTATTTACGAAAAGATATAATGCATACTTGTAATCATAATGTATAGCATTATGATGTATTTAGGATATAGAAAACGATTGGATTTCATTTCGAAACGTCTCTGTGAAAGTGACTAAATAACACAATATATGTTGTCTCTGAGGAAATATTTGCGCTTCAGAATGCTTGCATTGTTCCCTCACTGTCTAAAATAATAAGCAATTCCAATGTAAACTTGATTAAAAACTGACAGGTGTCATAATGTCTGTTGGATGAAATATTACAATTGTGCAATTATCAATAACACAAGCTATCTGTATTGAAATGTTTGACCTGACTATGTTGATACTTTTTTCCTAAACCAATGAAAATAGGTCAAAAATAGTGGCATGATGTAAACCATGAAACATAAGATTAAAATTTAAGATGCATAAAAAGAGAATTTGGTCTACTAAATTGAATTTTGATGAGGACGGCCTAAATCAGCCGTGCTTGCACGATCTCTAAACCCACGAGTTTATTAAACGTAAAATAACCTGCTGAAAAAGTTAATACAATCAATCAGGAGTAAAGATACAAACGAAGAACATGGAGGAAGCACAAGTGTGTAGCGCTTTCGAAGGCAGAATCTAACGTGTGTTTGTGAAAGTGCTGCCTGTTAAGAAGATTAACAAAATCCGGACTTTGATTACATTACGTTTGAGAGTCATTTAGACTGATGTCACATAAAAACCTACGACACGCACTGATTTTGCATTATTAGCTGAAGAAGTGTTAATTTCAGCACTCATCAGTTTGATCAAAGGTCAGGAAATGATGCGCCGGATTTGTAATTTAAATGACTCTTTTTATGTTCTTTGTAAAGGCTCATCTGAAAGCTTCAGAAATACTGTACATGCATGGGACAGACCTTTTATTTTAGATGAGAACCGAGACAAGTGTTAAGATCCTCTAATGCACTCTTAGAAAAAAAGGTTCAATGGGGTTCTATTTAGAACCATCGGGTTCTCTACTTAATTTTAGAACCGGTTAGAAGACAAGTGTTAAGAAGAAAAGGTTCTAAATAGAACCTTAAAAGGTTCTATCAGCGCTACGTATTTGAAACCCCTAAAAGGGGCTGATATAGAAGCCCTTTTAAGGGTTCAATAATAAGAACCATTTAGAGTTCTTTGTAACCAGGAAAAAGGTTCTATGGAACCTTTTGGGTTCATTCATTATCATTTGTTTTGTCCTTTCCGGATTAAATATTTCATATTATTGACAAACATCAAGACCCTAAAATGTGTTTATGAATGTGAATGATCACAAAATTCAAGATATGGGGGTTAGAAAATGTATTTATTTATATCATTTTATGTAGTTAATCAATATCACACAAAGAGTGCCATTTCAGTTTTTCTCCTCCAAAAATCAGCATGATTAAAATGTGATATTAAGTTACTACAACGGTTTAATAAACAATACTTTAATTACAACTATAAAATGTTGTAGAATAATGCATATAAAGAACCTTTGTGCCAAAAGGGTTCTTTCTTGTCATTATAGAACCTTTTTTAGCATAAAAGGTTCTTTGGAGTTGAGCAAAGAACCCTATGCTTCATAGAACCCCAATGAACCCTTTTTTCTAAGAGTGGAAAGGTTGAGATATGTCTTAAATCGTTAATTTTTAAAAGGTTATTTCAGTTTTTTTTCTAGTGATTATGAGCCATTTACAATTGAATTAAAATAAATACCCTTTAAAATCAATTACATTTGTACATTTTTCAAGTTTGGTGGCATTTGTAATGCAGAATTCACATTTGTGTGTTGTGAGAGTAAAGCCATGAAAACACTGCTGTTGTAGTGCAGTATTTTGTTGCGTTTTGTACACAACACTTGGTCAGAGTGAGGCTCGACATCAACCACTTCAGTTCATTTGACAATTTGTTTTATTGCTTTAGCACAATTTTCACATGCAATTGAAAACTCTCAGGCCTAATATCAGCAGATCAAAAAAGATAAAAAGGGCACTTTTAACAAACATTCCTTATATTTTCAATTGTATTAGTACAATACACAAAACCACAAAGTCCTTTTCACTACACAAAATGTGGTTTTTATCTATACGTTTCATGTAGAATTAGTAGTCCTTTATTGATCCCAGCTGGGAAATTAAAGTTTCAATATAATGTTATATTGTATTTCATTTACAGCAAGGGCCTCGTCAAACTTCTG